CACTATGTTAGACTGGTACATGCAGCAGAGCGGACAATTTGGTTTGTGTGGTGATGTGTACACCAGCTGGTAAACCCTGCCTGGCCGCACCCCCTCCCCGATCGTTTTGACACTGTAATACTATCGGAGCACGGTGAGTGAAGAGGGGAGAGTACAGTAGACGACGTCTGTCTCACTATAAGTGGATCTGCACACAATTCACCGCTGCGGCGGCGACGAGGCCGTGGGAAACGCAGCAGATGTCTCCCACTTATGAAGTAATCTGTGTAGGCCTGTATCCTTTGGCATGCTGATGATAGTATCCATGTGTCATGCTCGAGGGGTGAATGCAACTAGTCCGGGGATATTTTGAGACGTCGGTCGACAATTACTTATCCTGAGACTGATTCAAGCCCCCTGTTTGGTCGCGTACTCCACTATCTCCCAACTACTGGCAGGATGCAATAGGAAACCCGTCCTACAGGACCAAATAAGACATCAACTGCCTAAAGCTGGTCCCTGCCAGCTGGTATAGGCACACAAACTGAGAAAATAATGAAGACTGGCCGAGTATGAGAAGGGCTGAAGCCAGGCATTGAGAATGCCTGTAGTAAATGACCCAGCGTGAAAATATTAGCCGTAGTTTGCTGTAGAATATATGTCCTATTCCATCGATTTTTTATTATACATTTTCAGGGCCCAATACCATGAAGGACTTCAAAAACGCTCGACGACGGCAGCTAAGATACCGCAAATGGCCATCCAAGTCTTCAGAAGAAGAAGATGCGATCACTGGAACAAGGAATTTATTCTCCTGACGTTTCGGATTCCCTCGGGAATCCTTAATCAAAGGTGATGATAATACAGTCATGGTCATGCGAAACGTCAGGAAAATAAAGTCCTTGTTCCAGTGATCGCATCTTCTTCTTCAACTGCTGCCTGGAACTCTTATATTCTCCTCTATTGGCCATCCTAGTCTTACTTATTTTTAGCAGTACCTCCCTTGTGCATCAACACTAGTCGTTAGACGACTGCCCATTCAGACCCTAGATTGGACCAATGAAGTAACGTGGTTTACACGTATTTTAACCTGATCGGTGAATGCCCCTTTTAACGATGAGCAGGATAGTGCTAACCGATTGGTGGTAAAAAAATTACGAATGGATCCAAACACTGACACTTCACCGAAGCGAACAGTGGCGGCATGAAGCAAAATATTACAAATTCGATTTCTGAAAATATATGTTTGTGTGTGTGGAAAGACTAGAAATTGTGCATTCCAGATAAAACGTGTCACCTCTAAGTCTAAGCATATGTGCATACAAACGGTCCTAATTTACCGCTCCCAAAGTCTCCATGTCAGTGACAAGCAAATTGTGGAGGCTGCGGTTGAGCGTGGTGTTCCCCAAGGCTCCTATATCGGCCCTACTCGACGTAAATAATAAATAGATATAGTTGTGTCAGCCACCTGGAATGCGATATTGCCATGTTTTCCGATAATATGAAACTTTGGAGCGTCATGCAAACTGCAGATGACGAAGGGCATTTGAAGGCAAACCTAAACCGACTCCAATAGTGATCCAAGAACTGGCTCTTGTCATTCAATGAGAGCAAAGACCATATGAGTCGGCAAAAGCAGCTTTCCTAACCTCAGGGTTAACTGTCTGAATGGCATGGCATAGAATGACTTGGGAATGAGGATCACAACCTGGCTTGAACACTCGCTGCACTGTTCAGGGGTAGCCAAGTCTGCGAGCCAAGTCACTTCTATACCTTGCCAAACGGGTTTTCTTTGCTTTTTATGGTGACTGCTTTCGAACCTTTGTGCGACCGTAACTGGAGTTCGCTATCAAAGCTTGGAGACCGTCGGCAACGAAAGACCTCAACATCCCCGAAAATGTCAAAAAGTCTGCAAACAGACTTGTCATTGGATAGGGCTCACTACCATACGAAACACGGCTGTCTAATCACAATCTGCTTATACTGAGGTACAGACAGTGACAGGGAGACCTGACACTTACATTCCGCATCATTCGTGGCCAGGACTAAAGTCACGTATCAGGGGAATTCTTTGAATTAACAAAAACAACGAACTTGAGAGGTTACTTATTAAAACGTATAACCGGGGCCAGGCTGGAAACAGGAAAGTTTTCCTTCTCCAATAGTGGTAGAAACTTTAAATGCTCTGCCTCTGTCTGCATCCTGAGAGGTCTTGAAGCGGAGGATGAATCGATATAGTAATGCACCCTATAATCCAACCCGATTAATGCCATCCTAAAACTGCTACTCGCTATATTTCAGTAACATTGTTTGTGAAATATATGCACCTTCCTCAACTCCTACCCTACGCTTACTCACTACCCAACTTAGGCAAAGGTATTCGCTGTCTCTCATAGTTGACCCAATGCGAACTGCAACGATCTTGTCAGCCACCACATTTACTGCACCATGTGGATATAGTCTATGCATCCTCTTGAATGTATCCCTTATGTCGACCCGCGGCAGACTGTTGACAATCGAGGCGGGTT